TCGCAGAAATGTTGTGGATTAATTGAAGTTAGAAATTAACGAAATTGGACACCAAGTCATTGGTTTGGACATTGTGTTCACACACAAAAATGAAGGCCCTGGTTTTTGATTTCTTGTAGCGGGGTCGTGGATGCACACTTCAGCGGAGTTCCATACTAGTATAAATAGACCTCCTGCTTCCTTCAGGTTTTTCCATTTATTGTCTAACCCTAGTCAACTTGTGATTTTAATGGTATATCCAACATAATCATTGTTACCTAAACAAATGCTGACGAATGTAGTATTATTTATTTAATGGAACTATTATTTCTGGTTTATCATTCATTTGTTTGTTTACAAGTTGTACTCTTTTATACTACTCAAGTATTTGCCATTACTAAACAATTTTCATCCATTGAAGCACACGTTATCTAACACATTGATCACAGGTTTAAAATATGTTATTGGTCCCATAAATTTGTTTACAAATAATTTGCGAAGTATAAACATAAATTTTACATGTTTTGTCTTAATGCTTTAAATTCAATTTTGCGTTGCCATAGAAACATGGAACATTTACATTACGTGTTTCAAATCCTTTTTCATTTTAAATGCATTCTATTTCAACCATTTAAATTTATGTTCATTGTAACAGTCTATATTCAATATGTTCGAAACGATACTACCCTTATTTCCGGAATTCGAACCGAACAAAAAGCGATATTAATCAATTGAATAAACAGAAAGTGCATCCAAGGAATCCAAGTTCTTAGTGATGGTTTAACTTTTGAGTGAAATTGAAGGTAAACTTGTCGGTACTGTGATTTGTGGGGCTTCGTCGGGTTTTGCACACTACATGCTAATTTTACTTCGAGTGTCATGTAACTTGACAATAGCAGAAAATTAACAACGAAGATGATGTCATGCAGAATATTTTATTGTGATAAATGTACATAAAAGTGAGATGGAAGAAAACATCATCTTTCTATTAACCACAAGCAATGGATACCAATTTATGGTTAGAAATAGTACATTCTACCTCAAACAAAATATATTTTCACATACGACAAGTCATAATAGCATCAATGATTTTTTTGGTCCAATATATGGAGATTTTCAATAGCTTAAATCCATCAGTATTTTTATCATAGGTTTTAAATCATTTAAATTAGAACAATGTAATTGTTATATCCTGAAGAGAATTATGAATAATAACTTTTGAGAACTATTTATGGACAAATATGATGCATTTATCTTTATTGTATAATTGTTAATTAGCTAAACTATTCATAATCATGTTCCTCCAATTATAAGCTTAATTCTAACCCATACTCAATCTATCAATTACAGTCTCCCACATTCACAGCCACTTTTGGCTAAGTCTTGTACAAATGTTATTTTCTATTTTATGGTACGATGTCATTTGTATATAAACCCAATATTTGTTTCATATCGTGTGGGCTGAGATTGGTGTTCCGGAGTCAACAGGTAGGGCTAGACATGAAGAATGACCGATAAGGATTCTAGACTGCTCGTAAGGGTTTATACGTCATTCGTTCGGTCGATGGATCACTGTTCTCTAATTGACGGTATCATTACGTTTTTATATTAATAAAGCAGTAACAGTAACAGTAACCACATTAATTTTCATCATATTTCTAGACTTAGTTTCTTTAGTTTTAATAACTGAAGTTCCGTTCAATAACCGCGTTACTTGTGACTAAATTGAAGAAGTTAAGAAATTGTTAAAAAGTTAAAAAAAACGTTTTTTCAAAACATGATATAATTCTTGATTGATTGATGAATTTTGAAGATGGATTTCTATGATGATAAATTAATCGATCTTGAGCGTAAAACAGACAAAACAACTTGAAAATACCAATGAAATCACTAACCATCTACATTTTATTGACATAACAAGTTAAACTGAATAATTAAACGAACAATTTCGAATTTCGATCATTGTCATGACCATTAGTTAATTGATTTTCAGAGAACTTTATGAGAAACAGTTTTCTAATATTCAATTGTTTTTAAAATCTTTAGTGGTTGAGATCATGAATCAGTTGAAGCTAGACAACCATGGAAAATCTGGAAGCACTCAATGCCTGTTTCGTCCTATTATGGGACTCCTCAGCAGTGCGAATCTACGATTCCGACTCACGAGATTCCAGTTCAGGACCTAGTGGTCTCGTGCGTGAACGCTTAACCGTTAGAACACTGAGTCAGCCAGCATCTAACGGTGTTAATGTCTAATTTCAATTAATCCACGAGACTGAGCCACACATCTACCATTGTCATCAGTGAGTTACTAACTCACAACAGACCTGGTTGAACTCCACTGGTCATTATTTCTCACTAGAACTTCAGGATATACCTGTTGAAGCCATTCACTAGTGAGCATATGTTGATTAATATCAGAAGTGGGTTCTGTTGAGATTGTAGTAATTTCATTAGTTGTGATCATGAGTCAGCTGAAGCTATAAATAAAAACGGCCGTCCAATACCTCCAGGTTTTTTATGGTGGTATAGCTACAAGTGACTCATGATCTCAACCATTGAAATTACAAATATAATTCTACTTTTTTTTGTACAATGGTTATCTGTCATATTACATGAACAAATAAATGTATCCCATGTATCACTTAAGATGGATCTCTGCGATATCTTTGTAAACGTAGATTTAAAAAGAAAGTACGTTGAAATCAAATTAATTAATAAAGAATCGTAGCGATGTGAAATCATTTAGTTTTAATGCTTCAATAAAGTAAAATGGTATTTGATAATATAAATTAATGACTTGATGCTTACATAATATATATTGTGTCGCTTCTGTATGCAATAAAGTAATATGTTATTACACTGGAGAACACTAAAAGACTGTCTTGTTTTATGCTTTCTTAGACTAAAGTTTTAAATGTAGATGGTTTATTTTCGATTCGTTATATTTTGCCATTGACAAAATATACTGGCTACATGTCCCCTCTTGTGTTAACCCATTCATCAGTTATACTTCTTGTAAGATTTGACATGCATATATATGTCTCCAGTTTATCACATCTCATGTCGGTACATTTGAAGTATACATCAATAAGATAATTAACAGAATCGATGCAAAAATATAAGATGCAAAGTAAACCAAAACATGAGAAATGACAGTTAGAAAAGAACAAATGAAATCATAGGATAAAGAGTTGAAAATTACACTTATTTCTAAATTTAAAGGACTACAAACAGTGAATATAACAGCGTTTATGCGATCTATTCAAATTGTGTTGTTCAGTAACTATAAATACATGATATGGCTATCATGGGAGTTCTCTCCAGAGATTTTAAACATATAAAATCTAGTCACTAGGCTCACAAATTCAAAATACACAATTCCGAGAAGACCTAATGTCTGGAATTAAAAAAATCATTTTGTCATTTTCAGTTGATCGAGATAACCTAAGTTATTAACTTGGTATCACCACTAGTCTCACTGCCATAAGTTTGTCAAGAGCACGTTCCGTGCTGTCGCTAACTTACAGGTCATTGTATCCTATAGAAACAATTAAAATCTCTGAAAAATAGTTTGAAAGAAATATTACTCCATATGCATATTGAATTAGATCACATGGATGCTGATTAGAACTTCCTGTTCAGGATATTTTAAATACCAAGCTATTTGTTTATCTAAACTTTTCCAAAATGTCTAGCATGAGTACATTTTTATTATAATAAAAGAAACTCATACTAACCATATTGTTCTTCAGTTCGTTGCTCAAATTTATTTTTTTTGAATATTAACAACATGGTACTGGTACAAGAAGCTGAAAGATCATTTTATCTTACCTGTTAGCAATATTATAAGTAATGTTTTAGATGTTTATTAAAATGACTGGAAACATTAGATTTTATGGTTCAATCTCATTAAAGTTATCGTATGCTCACTAGTGAATGGCTTCAAGAGGTATTTACCGGATTACTAGTCATAAATAGTGATCAGTGGAGTTCAGCCAGGTCTGTTGTGAGATAGTAACTCATTTAACACAATGGATGCTGGATGCTAGTACAATGGTCTCAAGGTTAATTGCTCACGCACAAGAACAATAGGTCCTGGGTTCGAATCTCACAGGGGGAGTACCTTGGATGCGTATTGCTGAAGATACTAGGATAAAAAAGTCGTCCAATACTTTCAGGTTTGTAATGGTTGTCTAGTTTCAATTAACTCATGAATTCAATTATTAAGTGATTAATTATTTCTTAAAATAAATCAATATATATTGAATAATTAATCGACAATTAATTTAAACACAATAACCAATAGTCTACTTTTACAACTGATTGACCTCTGAGTGGTGATCAGAGTCATGTGTGTCAAGTCCTTCATAATGTAGATCGAATGCTATCGACCAAGTTGCCTGGATAGCTCAATGACAACGTCTCTGATTGTGAAGCTATGTGAAAATTGATCGAATTTGTCAGAGAGCACCAGTTCCCTCAAGATTACAGGTACACCTTACTGACAAGTGTCAAGCAGCACGAAACCCGTGTCCAAGGTTTCCTGTTGATTACCTCCAACCACCATCTTATCCCAATAATCTAATTATAAAATGAAAAACTGATAGATAAACATGAGCTCAATAGATTAAACAATGAAAATTATAAACGAAACCAAAATAATATTGGTCTATTTAAACAGACCCACCCCGTCTATTTATTTTTGTTGTTGTTTCATATTGTTTTCATTAATTAAATAAATCTATTTATAAATTAAATGGTTTTTCACAATGATACTAAAAAGTATCCTACATTTTGGTTAAAAAAAAAGAAGAAAAAAGAAAGAAAAAAAAGAAAAATTAAAGTATTAATTATAAATGTGTTTGTCTTCATTTTTTTTTACACAGTCATAGTTACTATTTGAAAAATTCATTTGTATATTCATATATGCTACTTATCATTTACACCAATCAATTTCAATTCATACAATCAATGATTGTCTCTATGATAATGTAACATTGAAATTTATTATTCCATATATAAATATGAATGTTTATGATACTAATATGTTCCTTATCATGTAAATTAATTAATTAATTAATTAATTAATTAATTAATCAATAACTTAAATAAATAAACAATTGTGTACAAATCTTAATTGTCAGATATAAATTCATAGAAGAAATATATTAATTAAATACAAACAATTATATATATACATATAGATTATCCATTGTATTAATCCTACTATAGTGAATAAATGAAATAGTGTCAAAGATAAATTCGTTTATTCAATTCAAATAATTGAATTTAACAATATCAATTACATTATTCAATTATAATTAATTAAATGAATGGCTGGTGAAATAGCAACACCATTAATTGCATTTGGATGTGCATTAATTGTTTTTCTTTTTTGTGAGTTTACTTCATTTTTGTTTTTTCTTTCTTTTGTAATGGTGACTATTCTATTTTATTTATACTAAGAGAAATTTATAGTTTACATCATAATATAAGCAAGTAACTATGAGGAATGAATAGTGAAATGGATAATATGATGATGTTTGAAGTGAACGGTACTGAGTTTGAATATCAAATCTAAGATGTAGGTATATCCAGTTGATGAGTCTTAAATAAGATAAATTACATGTACTGAATTCTATTGCTAACCAATATCTATTTCAACTTATAGTACTTGTGACTTAAGTCAATATCAAGGCCCATGTACACCATTGGTTTGGAATCAGGGTTTTCCAACTCCTCTGGGTGGACTCTCTTTGTTTACCAAGTTGGTTGAATCGCCGGACATTCACTTTTCGTCCTCTCAATTTTGTAAACAACACCCCTGGTGAGAGAAGGCAGTGAGTAGGACTTCCCTACCAGAAGTTGTATACGCGTGGCCATGTGAGAGCATTTAGAGAGGGAGAACGGACTATCATCGCTCTTGGCCGTACCAGTGCATTTGGGGGCTCTGTAAACTTCTAGTTAACATGTATCCTCGATCAATTGTTTATAATTCTTTTTTATTATCATCTATTACACAATTTTTTTAGTAGAGATGTCAATTTCAGTTCATTGAACTAAAAACCATTGAAAAAAAACGGTAATTACTTGCCGTTTTTTTGTTTTATTTTTGCGATGACTCAAGTTAACGGAAGTAGAAAAGCCTAGATGATAAATTGCTTTATTATGTTTCTTTCATGCTTAATAAACAAATAAATTCAATCATTTCATTAAGTAATTTGTATCCCCCAAATAGTGATCTTAGTCAATATTATTTTGATGACTTGCCATTATATTCTCAGTGACATTACAGTTTTGTATCTAAAAAAGTTCATCACGTATATGGTTCAAAATCCATTATCAATAGTGTACTAAATATACAGTTTTGTATATTAAAATCAGTGAATGATTCCAGATCTTCCAAATAGTAGGATAATGACATTTCATTTCAATATTACACAATATTTTATTAAGGTGACCGAAAAATATCAATATTGGTTTCAATTTAACAACACCTATGATTAAGTCATTGATTTTGCCGTAAATAGCCGTAAGTAATGACAAAGTTCTTATTTTTGATAAATCTAAAAAACAAATATTCAGTAATCATAAGCAAAGATGAATAGTGGTTAGCAGTGGAATCTAGGACGCGCGTTTCGACGTATTCTGGACTCGTCAGTCGGATGTACCTGCATCACAAAGTTGATGTTCACTCCTGGACTCGAACTCAGTACCGTTTTTTTCAAAAGCCTATACGTGTATGTGTGCAGACTGTGTGTATTGTACATATACCAATAACAGATTGATCAACTGCAGTACTAAACATCAATTAAAATAATCTAAGTACACAATACCAAGTGAATTTAAACTTCGGTAATATTTGGTCAAAAATTGGTTTAAACATTGATCGAAGTTTTAAATTAAACATTAGGATGTCTATTTTAAAACGATTCTATTTTAAGATTCATTCAATCAATGAATGAATGTATTTTTTAAAATCTCGACAGTTGCTCCTACCTTGACGTGGTGGTCAAGCTTGTCTATCGTAATAAACCAGTCAAGCTCTACTGGCTTGAACAATCGTTCCTCAAGATCCTACAATTCCAGACAGGCCGGTTAAAGAGCAGTAAGACTAAAAGCAGAAAACCCAACCTCCAAGGGCTGACTGTACAGAGGTGTGACGACAGTAAGGTGTTTCCTTCAGACGACCAGCATAACAATGGTGTTGCCTTCCCATAAATAAGGGTGGGGTTCGTAATGGTCGACTCTAAAAATGCACATCTCGCCGTATCCCACCAATTTTCGTCTCCGGCGGTAAGGTCTCAATAAGTACAAGGCTAACACGAAAATTACTCATCTTGTTGTGCTAATGAGGTGTGGTAAATTGGAACGATGCAGATATTTGCCTGGTCCTACGTTGTAGTTGACTGACTGACTGAGCCAACCTCTCATGTATTTAAAAGTGAATAATGTTTTCTAATAAACTTTTTATTTCTATAGGCTTATCATTCTCCTTTTTCTTAGGCGGTAAGGTCCCAATAAGTAGAGAGATAACACGAAAACTACCCACAAAAAGGTCTCATATGACTGGCCTCAAGTATTTGTCCCCTGGGCACTGCGGTCACGCTCTCAGGTCACTAAGATCACCCCTAACTCAATTTTCTCTCCAGGTTCCTCCAGAAGAACATTTGTACAAGATTTAGCCAAATGAGGCTGTGAATATGACAGACTGCAATCAATAGATGAGACATAACTCAAGAGCACTAAATCGTATAATAATAGCCCATAGTTCAAAATAAAGCCTTTGATAAGAGAAACACTAATATGAATAGTTTAGTTACTTAACAATTATACATAAAAATATACATTTAGTATTGATCCACAAATGGACCCCAAGAGGTACCATTCATAATTCTTATCGGGACATAACATTAGTAAAATAACAATTTTAAGAAGAATATCATTAGTAACTGAAAACATATTTTGTCAGTATATTTGAGGGTTGAGGAATTATTTTTGAAGGTGTACGTAAGAAATTGACTGTATTTTATGCAATAAAACTACTGTGATTTACTTCAAGTAACGAGTTATGAATAAAACATAATTTTATTGTGAAATATTTGGTTCATTACAATTTGAGATTATATTTTTCATGCTACTTTCCCTTTAAACAAACTAAAACCGGGTCTGTTGTGTGATAGTAACTAACTGAAGACAATGATGGACGGTGGCCCGATTTCGCGGGTTTGTTGAAATTAGATATTAACACAGTAGGATGATGGCCAGCTCAATAGTCTAGATGTTAAGCGCTCACGCGCGAGACCAAAGGTCCTGGATTCGAATCCCACGAGCTTGATCGTGGATATGCACTTCTCGGAAGTCCCATACTAGGACAAATCGACCATTCAGTGCTTCCAGGTTTTCCATGATGGTCTAACATTGATCGAATTATGAACTCAACTATTAAAAACGCTACAATCTGCGCATAAACCCACTTCTGATAATAAAACCTTTTCATTGTAGCCGATGATATTATCACAACTGAAAACTGATTAAATGTTTAAAGATAAACAATTAAACAATACAAAATATGAAAATTCCGAGAATAAATCCCTTTTAAGCGAAAAAAGTATACTGATTATTTTTTTAATTAAGTATTATCCAAAGATCAACAAATAACATTTAAATAGTAAGAGATTTATTTATAAACGGAATACACCCATTAAGACATTAAATAAAAAAGACTAGTTCAGCGAAAAGTTCTTTTTTCGGCCAATTCATTTTTAAAGTTGTACAGTCGCAAATATATATACTTGTTTTTCAGTGCCTTTACAGTTTACATTCAACGACGTAATTCATAGATAGAAAGATGGCAATAGCAATGGGATCTCCTCTTGGTCTATTATTAGCAGATTGCTTCATGACCGGTTTACAAAACGACCAACTTAAGATAATTATGGGAAACCTCCACTTGTATAAAAGGTACATAGATGATATCTTTATCATTCGTGACAACAAATATGACCTATGTCATCTAAAGACATTCATTAATTGTTACCCAGCAATAAAATCCACAGTTAAAGTTGAGAACAAACAAAATATTCACTTTCTTGATGTGGAAATGATAAGAAAACAAGATGGAACTCGAACAAAATCTATCTATAGGAAACCCATGTGGAATGACCAAATATCACATTTCCACATCTGGGTCCCCATCAGTCGGAAACGAAACTTGATAATATCACTCAATAAAAGGGTACCAAGAATTTGTAGTCCCGAGGTCATAGATGAAGATGAGGGCCTCTTGAAGGAGATACTTATCGAAAACGGGTATCCTACGATATTCATTCATAAGAACATAAGACCGAAACCGCCAAAAAAAAATAATTTCGGCAGAAAAGAAAACATTATACATGAACAGCGACTTTAAGGGTGACAGAGACACATACATCTTAAAGAGGAGAATTTCTGATTATTTAAAAAGATCATTCTTCGCAACAACGCTGGAAATAGTATTCTCCAGCCGATCATTGTTCACTAATAGCTTAAAGATAAATTATCGCATCTGACCAACTCAATGTGCATTTACCAATTTACCTTTTCATGTGGAGCTAAGTATATAGGTCGTTCAATGCGTACTTTATCCAACAACATTATCGGGCATGGCTAAGAAGAGGAGGAAAAGACACTTTGTGAACACAGGCCACTAAATCAAGACAGACTCTGCGTTCAAAGTCATCCACAATATTAGTAGAAGTCTTCAAAGGCAATTAGATTGCATCTTCTTTGCATTGTCTAAGCAATAGCCATACATCTGGAAAAGACAGAATTGTGTGTGCAAAAAAGATTGGTAAAACCTTTTCTTCTACCATGGTCTTAATGTCCTATATTTTTTCTCCCTTTTCTTCCTTTCTTCATACTCTTCTTCCTTTACAAACATCTACTTCACCTTTCATCTTCCCCTTAAATCTTCTATCCCTAACTGGTTTATTTCTGTTTCCACGATCCTCCTAATTACATTTAATCTCTATTTCAACATTTCATCTTATCATGGTGAGCCATCTTGTTCCAATGATAATTTCCCTATCTACCTTTTAATGAATACTTAAACCATTAACAATCAAACGATTATTGAGCTTTCCTTGTTTAAAAAAAAAGGTTTTTGATACCTATGTTTATTTTAACTCACTGTCACCATGACTAACAGAAGTTATTATTATCATCCTATAAGAATAAGTATATATATTTGCGATTTTACAGCTTCGAAAATGAATTCATCGAAAAAAGAACTCTTCGTTGAACTAATCTTTTTTATTTATTTATGACTATCGAATCAACTACCTAGTACTTACCCAGTTGAAAATGCATAAAAGTTTTAAGTTACATTAATGATTGGAACTAAATAAAAAAAACTTCATATCAATAAGATTAAACAAGGACGCGATATCCATCTATCAGTTAAGGGACAAGTATACTGTTCGGCAGTTGTAAATGACTGACTGAAACATAGACGTTTACTCATTCAGTTCATAAATATTATTACGCTGAAACAAACAGATTAATTACTTCCGTTCGGTTGAAATCAGGTCAAGAAGATTCAACATTTTTATGAAAAAGAATAACTAATAATTTTATTATTATTATTAGTTAACCTGAAACAAAATATGTTACACTGATAATATAACTTTCTAATTTGCTTACATATTTGAATGACTAAATCCTGATCTAGTGATCTAAACTTACTGATGTTTACTAATGATTAATCTCAAATTAGACTGAATTATTTGCCTATTGTTCCCTGATTTTAAGTGATTTTTCTCTCAGTTCATGTCAGTTTGTCTTAAAAATGACGTTTTACATTATTGATAATAAATAAAAAGAAAGACTCCACGATGCATCTTCTGGAATTCTAGAGAGATACTGTGACCAGTAGAATTCAATCCAAGTTGGATGTAAGAGTTATTCACCACAGGAAATAGATAAGAGTTGCACAATGTTGCGAATTGTTTGAAGTTGGACATTAACACTATTGTATTCTGCCTGAATGGTCTAGCGATTAATGGTTTGCATGCGAGATTGAAGGTAATGGGCTTGATTTACTGAGCCGGGGTCGTGAATATGTTCTATTGAGGATTCACATACTAGTACTAAATGGCTTTTCAGCGGTGTTACGATGGTTTACCTTAGATCATTTCATGATCAAAGCTGTGAAAATTTTACAATCTTCATGAATCTTTCATGCTAATAAAACATTTACATCTGAAAATTACCTTCACTTGTTACTAGAGTAATCTAGATACTCTTAAAAACTTCCAGTATTTAGACTTTGAATAAATGTTTCGATTCACTGTGTAAAAAATCTATTTTATGTAAACGAGCATGATAAGCTGCATGAAGAATACTATTTTATGAGCAAAAATGTATAGTGGTTAGATATGGAATCAAGGAGGCGCATTTCGTCCTACTTGAGACTCGTCAGTTAGATGTGTTTGAACCCTGGATTTGAGGTTCGCTCCAAACGCCATCATGTTATCCACTAAGCTACTGAGTCCATATAGCCACTGGCTTATGTAACGGGGTGAAGTTTTAACCCGTCTTTTTGTATTTGTCGTTTGAATCTCTCCATTGATGTTTATGGCTACAATTGATCAGTAATTATCAAGACTGAGTAGCTAAGTGAATAACATGATGGCGCTTGAAGCGAACGATACTGCGTCCCGGTCCCAGAGTGATCATCGTTTCTGGAGTGCAGGCACATCCAGCTGACCAGTCCTACGTTGGACGAAACGCGAGTCCTGGGTCCCACTTCCAGCCACCATCCATCTTTTTTAGGAAAAGCTTGTAACTTTAGGCAATCTCGAGACACCAACACAGGATGCCAATTAGAGGCTGCTCACTCACAGTGCTAAACATCAATGGGAAGATTCAAACGATTAATACAAAAACATGAATGATATAATTTCACGTTTGTTAAACTTTTATTCAATGTAGCGCGATATCAATATGCCATTTATTCAAGTGTTTCCATAAATTTCATTTCTTAAAACTTACAGTCATCCTCTGTTTAGTGTCACATCACATCCTTTGTGGCGAAAGTAAACATTCTCAAACTTTTCCACAATTGCCTCCAATCGATTCACATTTTTATCCAGCTAGTCCACATAGTAAGTTACATTTATTAATGGTATTTTCATATTGTAAGATGGGATTTTTATTGGGTATTTGTTGCTTGATTATGTAATGTGACAGTTAGAATATTGATAATTTTATTCTTATAAATTTTTTGTATATATAAGACGTCAAATGGTTGGAGGTAGTGAACTTCTGACCCTAGACTTATGTTCCCCGCTAGTTGGCACTAGTCAGCAAGGTGTATATGTAATGATGATAGAACTGATGCTCGCCTGTGAACTGAAACACAGCTATACAAGCTGTGACTTTCCGAATCAGCTCTTTGAAATGCTACTAACCGATGTTCTTTAAGGCTTAGCTATTAACAGTTGGTTGATTACCCATCGCTGTAAACCAGTCATGTTTTCATAAAACCAACATTCTAAAAAGTGTGAATACTTATCCATATGGAGTTGTGGAGATCATTAAGCTATATTAAAATCATGAAACGAAGTTTGTCACTCAATGTCATGGATTAATTGAAGTAAAACTTGTACATAATTAGATTTTAGTTCAATGGTCTAAAGGTTGAACGTTCACTCGCGGATCACAAGTTCTGGTTCCAATAACTGTGTATGAAATTCTAAAGAGTTTCATATTAGTACAAATCAACTGTTCATTATTTCTACGTCCGTAATCGTTGTCTAAATTTGATCTGTCCATGATTGTTTTTCTGATTGAAGGAATATATTATTATCAGAAGGGGTTTTGTGCAGTTTTTGGAAATTTCAATAGTTAAAATCATGAGTCAGCTGAAGCTAGAAAGCCATGAAAACCTGGAAGTAGTGGAAGACCGTTTCGTTCTAGTATGTGACTCCTAAGCCATGCGCACTCACGGTGGCGCAATTTTAGTGGCTTGGTTGAAGTTATACATTAACACGGTTGGATACCGGATCAGTGGTTTAACTGTTAAGCTCCCGTGTACGAGGCTGATAGGTCCTGAGTTGGAATCTCTTAAGGGGCAGGATCGTGGATGCACACCGTGAGGAGTCCCATACTAGGACGAGACGGTCGTCCACTGCTTCCAGGTTGTCCATGCTGGCCCAGCTCCAGTTGACTCATGAATTCAACTATTGGAATATATTATTAGTAGATTGTATATCTACAGTATTTTATACCCTTCTATCATTATTAACTGAAGAATTTCAATCGTATAATAGAAATCTTTCAACTAAAGAAACTTTTAACTGTCAAACAAGAAAAAAAATCAAATCACCAAAATTCAGTTAAGACGGTAACTAAAGTCAAAACGTCAGTTAAAAAACAAATTCAATACATTTATTACTATTCTAACAAAAACAAACTGTTCCCATACATTTCACATGACATTTTATTATACCCCTTTTATCACAAATACAATGATAACTCAATATAACGTAATTAATAATGTAAAGAATAGAAGAATAATTCATATGATTTAAGTATACAATTGAATTGCCGAAAATATTCTAGAATTTTACAATTTTAATTTTTATGATGAAAGATAAAACGTTTTCTTTTTTCCTTTTTTTAATAAAAATCATAAGTACATACTTTATTTTACTACTAATTTTCTTGATAATCAATAGTTTTTTTAATAATTAATACATTTATAAATGTATTGATATTTCATATTAGAATAGTTGGAGATTAACGCTAACGTTATCTGATCATCTTCAAAACTCTGACTTTAGCTCTTGTTCAATGAAAACATTCTTGGCAAATGGTTTCGCTGTAGTTTGTCTGACAGCGATCCTAGAATTCCATCTCTAACATCACCTTACAAAATGCCCTTTTCTGTCCATCTTAACCATTACTTAGGACCTGAAAACAAACAAAATAGAACTGAAGTCCTATGTCATTATTCCATGAAAGAATTTTCAGGCGCAAAGTCCTGCTTTGGGCACTCAAATTTGTTCAAAGTAAACATACCGTCCGCTCTCGACATCTGTTTTAAGGCATCCGAAATCATACAGATAGGTGAATAAGACAAACTCGTCAAGCTACCAACATCTGTTTAACACAGATACAGATGAAAGGTTGCGCAGCCAGTGAACCGAGCTGAACACGTCCTGATCGTAAAAAATCAATGAACAATCACCGGAATCGAACCCTGATTCCCCGTTACCCGTTACCATCTCGGTGAGGAAATCACCTACCAACAAACTGATGGGGCAGACATTTGAAAGATTCATTACAGACACAAGGCCGACAGCGATCAGTAACGCTATCCAGTTAGGATTGAAAAGAATAATAATTCAATGTTAATAAACATTCAATGCTGAATTCTAAGATTAGTGAATACTATCTGTTTCTGATCTATAATATTGAAAAATTAAATTGAACATACATTTTCAAAATCGATAAATACTGTAAGCATACTGATATATGTAGACGATATGGAAATCAGATAGATATCATTGGCGATATTGTGTTCTATGAACTAGCAAGTGTGATTGCTAAGCTTTTATTGTTTCTTTTCGTTAATGAGTAAATGATTCATCTACAATAGGTATAAAATATCTTAAAAAAGCATTATAAAGGTATTGAAACTATTTGAAAGTAATTTTCTCTCCGTTTTAAATCATATGAACGACACAACAGTATTGACTATCAATAAAATTAAACATCACAGTACTTCACACCAAATTAAACACCACACTTTACACCTACATATATATGAAAATAGATTAGCAGCAAAGCGACATTATATGTTACCACTGATATCAATGTATATGAACAACCATCTGCATAAATTCGATTGGGAAAATATCACAGTTCAATTTAGTTAACGTTTAATCAAACTACAGAAATTCTAGAGGAATATTATTCAAAATAAATATAGATTCAATCTGTAAACAAGATAAGGATCAGGTAAATCAAATGAATGTCCAGAAGTCAACGGAAAAAGATGGCCAACAGGAATACAAGAACAAATGGAGATGAAGAAACTTTCAAAGACAACTAATCACAAACAAGGCAATCAGAACGAACTCGAATAACCGAACAGAATAATTTCTACGTTCATATCGTCAGATAAGAACCTTCGTTTAAATTTTGTCAAATAGTTTCACAGTATATGGGCGCCGGGTCAATGTGAGACATTAAAGAGGAAGAATGTATTTGTAAAATCTCAGCAAATGAATTTGAAGTAGATCCAACATTTCGCCTGGAAAACTGGCCTAAGCTTTTTCAAGGAAATATAATCAAACATCGTTAATATCGTTGTTCAGAGTAACAACAAAACTTCATCAGCTAAATTATTATCACCGAAATTAGTACATGTATACTTAAAGGTTACAAGAAAAAATAACTTAGATTGGCTATTTCATTACTAGAAATCTGAATCCATGAATTATAATTTCTCAGGAATACCTTTCTGTTCAATCCATAAGAAATTTTTCACTTTTGCTAAACCATATGAGATGAGATAAATTCAAGTTAAACCAGAATATTTTTTTCGATTGAATAACATTTAGATAAGACTATCATAAATAAAGAACCTCGAAGCGAAGCTAATGAAAGTAAGTAAAAAAATGAAGCAAACGCTTAAAGCTATTTTCTCTGTTCAAGGTTATAGACATGATTAAATTTCATTGAATTTGTGAACTAGTCAATGTTAAACCAACATTGAAAACCTGAAAAAACGGGATGGACAATAGTGCATACCTACGATCCCACACGTGGGATTCGAACCTAGGACCATGGATCTCCCGCGAACGCTACTATCTAACAGATGACATCTCTCGGTATTAAAGGACTATTTTACCTCTGTTAGTGTGCAATAAATCAATAATCTGAGGTTTTCAATACGACAGTGTACAACGGGTTGTTATATTGATGAAATTTTCTCATTTTAAACATATATCATCCTATATGAATAAGTTTAATAGAATGAATGAAAGAGTTTTCAATAAAATATTACATAATTGTTAGCATCCGCTTCAGTTAAATGATCCATATAGTGTTCAGGAATGTGAAATAATAATAATAACTATCATTTTCTAACGACTAATTGAAAGAAAAGAGAAAAAACATCTTTAAATTCAAGGTCGTCTAGACTTTAATTTTCACTAATACAAAGTCAGTGTTGTGTTTAATTCATTTGAAAGTTGATTCTAACATAACAATTTTGAGAGTGAAGTCTGTTCATATTAAAACATCACAAGTTTATATATTCTTGTAGAGTAAAAACATTCTTTGATTTTATCACCGAGATATTGCTTTTAAAAACATTGATTTTGATGGAGTTTTGTTGTCTGAGCTTGATGGTTTGGTCGTGCAGATCGCATCGTTCTTCTGGTTGACATCGTCAGCACAAACTTCAGGTAGAAGTCATCAAAATCATCCACCCGAGCTACAAATCTTCTTCACAATCTCAAAATCATTGGTCTCTACAATAAGCTTTAGATATATCGACTACAAACTATCAGACAAATTATTTTTTTATTATTTGGTTGAGATCATGAACAGATTGATGTTAGATCATCATTGAAAATCTGAAAGCACTGAACGGCCGTTTCGTCTTATTATAAGACTCCTCAGCAGTGCGCATCCACGATCCCGCACCCAAACGACTAGGACCCAGGGCCCTCAGTGGCGCGAACGCTTAAGCTACTAGACCACTTAGCCGGCATACAACGGTGTTAATGTCTAACCTTAACCAATCTACGTAATTGCGCGTCCATCTTCCATTGTGCCTGTCTCTACCTGACATGGATTAGCTCCACTTATCACGGCTTCCTTCTAGAATTCCAAGAATTCTCTCACAAAGCTAGTCACTAATGAGTAGATTGTAATTATCAGTATAGGGTTGTGATGGTCTAACATTAATCGGTTCATGATCTCAATCAAAAACTTAATAATCTCCACAATCCTATACCGATATTTCTTTACTACTGAATTTATAAATTCTCAAACAGAGAATAAGATAATCTCTTTTTGTTATGGTAAACTCATCTTACAATACAATGATGAAGAGAATAAGAAATAATGTTGTATAAACGGCAATTGTTACTATTATTTTTTGCAGGTAAGATTTAGACACTTACAACTCACGGTATAGATTGGTATTAGTTTCAAGAGATAATTACTGAAAAAGATTATCATTTTAAAATCTTTTTGATTGGAAAAACCTCATTTACAGGTATGCAAATAAAAGAAGAACCATTACAATGTATTCATGAAGAGATGCAATTAAAAATGGATGAGCCATCAACAAGTAGAACAGATATTGGTGATTTACTCAAGTCACGTATAGAAGCCGCTGAAAATGATGATGATAATAATGAAGATAATTGTAAAAATAATGAATCACCTTTAGAATATGCATATGAAGGATCTGATGAAGAACCATTTCAACATGCAGAAATATGTTCTGAAAATAAGTGAGTAGACATTTTGTAAGAAAATTAATACGCATTCAAACTATATTATTATACATAAATTAGTTTTATTTTTTCATTTTAAACTTAGGATACTAGATATTTATTACATGATCTGACCACCAAATGGAGCTATTAATACAGAAAAATAGTGATAACTAAACACTAAGCAGTTAGTTAATGTCAGTTTTTGGGAAGATTTTACACTAATATTTTGTCAACTTTACTATTAACGTACAAACTAGCTTCATAGTAGTACAAAAGAGGTCCCAGGTTGGCATATGTTGTTCTGCATTTTAGTATGTAAATTGCAGTCCTTTTTTACAGACTAAAAGCAACTTCACACACATCAGAATAAGCAATTTTTCCGCTTGTTCTAGTGATTTATCTTCAAGCAACAGTGTAGATTTCGTTTAATCCTATAAATTAGTTTCAATTTCCTTTACTTATGAATTCCATTCACCTGATTATATAAAGCTATTTGAAAATCCTTTGTTTTTCTGATACTTTTCAATGAAATAATCTATATGATCCAGATCAGAAATATTTCTTCACATCATAGGATATCACCTTCACAATGCACTTAGATTAAAACTATTTCAAAAATATCATCACTGATCAAGTTTAACGGAATCATTTAATTGGTAGTGTGAAACAAAGTTGAGTGGTCATGATTAGTCATTATATAAACGGAGATTAATTTGTATGGTGCTTTAAAAATTCCAGTAAATTTCTTTAAAATATTTACCCCTTTGAAAGCTAATTTCAAATTCTAAGATTAACAGAAAAATTGACAGGAACCCTGACTTCAGAAACTGCAACACTTCGTTGACCTGAAAACGTTCAACAACGAAAAAGTGTTTAAAGAATGATAGGAACAAGATCATACTATCCAAAATTGTAAAATATTTTTGTTTGTTAACTATGTCCCATAGTGACTACTTCTGATTTATTATTATTTTTTAACTTATCAACTTAAATATAACCTATGACATTTCAGTTATTCATTCATTAAAAGTTTAAAATTCTTAACGATATTGCTTAACATGTGTTTTTCATGAAGTTTTGTTCTCTGAGCTAGATAGTTTGGTCGTGGAGCTTTCATCGTTCTTCTGAACGAAATCATCAGCACAAACTTCAGATAGAAGTGAGGCGCTAACTCAGCGGATGAAGGAAAACATCCAGCTAACCTCACAAGAACAAAAAGCTTTAAAGGAACTCAGAACTAGAAAAGATATTGTCATCGTTCCAGCAGACAAAGGACGCACCATAGTGACTATGGACAAAGAAGAATACATCAAAAAGCCGAGGAACTACTTGAAACGCTTCACTTCTATCTGAAGTTTGTGCTGATGATGTCAACCAGAAGAACGATGAAAGCTCCACGATTAAACCATTCAGCTCAGAAAACAAAACTTCACCAAAATCATCCACCTGAGCTACAAATCTCTACCATCTCATTAACATGCTTTCTTTTATTAACTGAATAACTACTCATTTGAGTTTGAAGTTATTTGAATAAGAAACTAAACCCTGATTCTCCTAAGGTCAATCTATTCTCATTAACGTTATCAAATAATAATATCATCGTATTAAATAAATTATTCATTAATTTTCAACAATTTAAATGAAGTTGATAATAGTCATAAGTCATTATCTTATTATTGAATAAAATTTTATGTATATGTATGCTCACTTACTTACGCCTGTTACTCCTCGTGGAGGAGTATAGGCCACCTAGCAGCACTATCCATTCAACCCTATCCTGAGCGATCCTTACCAGTTTTTTCCAATTGCTATTCAATCTTCTGATGTCTGCTTCCAATTCCCGACGCAGTGTGTTCTTTGACCTTTCTCTTTTCCGTTCCCCTTCAGGATTCCAAGTCAGAACTTATCTCGTGATGCAGTTTGGTGATTTCTTCAATATATATCCTATCCACTTCCAACATGTTTTTTTAAAATTTCCTCTTCAGCTGAAAGCTGGTTTTTCGTCTCCCACAGAATGCTCTTGCTGATGGTATCCTGCCAATGGATGTTGAGTATCTTGCGTAGACAACTATTTACACATACTTGTACCTTCTTGATGACGGTTGTAGTAGTGTTCCACGTCACAGCTGAACCACTTAGAATATCGTCATTATTATTACTATATCAGTATATGAATCACTGAATTTACGTGTTCGTATAGAAGAAAATATTTTATTATTTATTTCGGTAGTAAGAAAAAATAACGAATCAAATGTTCTGTTTTCATTAATTGACAACTCACTCTTAACTACAGTTACTTACGACTGGTTTAGATAATTCGTGTCTGATATTCAAAGTTATTTTCTTTTTTACTTTATCTTACTGAAAAGTATCGAACAAATGAACAAGTACAATATCAGTAACTGACTGAAATCGGATGTCGGATATGTGGATTCATTTGTCTAACAGGAGTAGTGCTTTTTTTCTAGTTTTTATTACGGAAAAGCTGCTACATTATCGGTAGGTTAGTACTTAACCAACGTTACGTTAAGAAGTGTCAGTAACAAAGTTATTTGATTTACATTCATAATTTTTTTGACTGCATAATCATAAATAATTATATCCTAAGACATTTGAATAACCAGGGATTATTGCTATGTTTTCTTAACCATACTAAAAGCTCCTTTTACTATTATTACTATTGTAGTGAACAAGAACACCAGAGGGGACAACCGAATGTGTTCAACACGAAATTACAGGACGTGTTAATAGAATCTAGCAATCATAAAGTAAATGCTTAATTTGAAAAATGTCCACTGAGTGTCTCAAAATGATTCAGACTTCATTGTTCTTTCATTTTCATACAAATTCCATTCTGTTTCCATTCGTTACTGTTTGATCCTCTTGCCTATCTGCTGCCAAATCTTCTGTTCACTACTAACATCATATACTACTTATGTCAATATACGTAGCACACACTATTATTATTATTATTATTATTATTATTATTATTATTATTATTTTGTTCACAATGAAACACCAGTCTAGTGAATAATTATTTTTTGGTAGATATAGTGTTTAAGGAAGTCTATTAAATTTGTCTATAGAATTAACCATACCAAAGAGAAACATTAAACAATCATTCCTATAAAAATAAACAAACTACTAATGACAAATTAAATGTATCTTTTAATTAATTACTCTAGGTTGTCAAATAAAATTTGTCATATAAATGAAAGGAGGTAATATTTTTATTATACATAAAAAGATTGTAACTTTTTGATGGAGTTTTGTTCTTTAAGATGGATGGCTTGGTCGTGGAGCCTTTATTGTTCTTCTAAACGACTTCTCATCACCTGAAGCTCCACGACTAAACCATCCAGCTCAAAGAACAAAACTCTATCAAAATCATTCATCTGTGCTACAAATCTTCTCCACTATTGTAACATTTTTTTTCAAAATAGACATTCTATTGACAAGGTAGATTTAAGAAAGAAATGTATGACTGGTGAACTAAATTGTATTAGAAAACAATATAAAAAGAGAGTAACCAATTATTGAATTGACATTGCCGCCAACATATCAATCTTTCACCAACAACGACATTTGGAAAAAAAACAAAATCCCAAACTATTTAAATATAGTCTAGAAAATTCAAAACAATAGTTAATTATGCTAAAGTATTAGTCTTGTATATTACATACTAGGATTTTTATAGATTCTGAAGATTCTTCCATATACAAGTTTACTATCTACTGAGCTCAAGTCAAGTTTCGTTAAACTGATGAGGGCAAAACAACCACTAAGTTGGATGACATAGTATATCAGCAAATTAAATTTGACTGTTAAATAATTTGAATGAATCTGTAAGAAGTTATTCATCTAGATTTTGTATTTATTAGTACTCATTAATTGTCTGTAGTGATAGATAACATCTACCAGGAAATATAAAACTTAACTATAGAATAAAATAGTTGTTGGAGGTAGTCAACAGTAAACCATAAACCTAGGTTTCGTGTTGCTTGGGACTCGTCAGCAAGGTGTATCTATAATTTTAAGGAAATCGGTACTCCCTGACGGAATCGATTCCGTGACATTCAGCTTCATAGTCAGAAGCGTTATCACTGGGCTATCCGGGCCACGACCGACCCCCTGTAGGACTGAGATGTATGCACAATTGATTGATCATTGAGTGGTAATGAATTTCATATATATCAGGTCCTTCTCAATGCACATGTTAACATTATTACCCATTATTAACTGCCTTCACGTAAACTTTGAAATACATATAGTAAATTTATTCATCAGAATAGATATTCGAAATGATTCCCTCAATAAAATTTAAGAACAGACCCACTGGAGTTTGGAGTGACTAAATCACACGGTACAATGGTGTAGTGTCGGTCCTTATGCTGAGCCCACATATCTTATTCTAGCTTCCAAACAGGCCAATTTATTCATTCTTCTGGAGTCACATTTTGACCTTGTTAATTACTCGCTTGTCAACCCTGATTCTTTTTATATAAGCATATATGTATGTATTTCTTGTCTTACTCATCACATGTCTGTAGCTTACTTTTGTTTGACCACAAATATCGATTAACGCTTGATTAAATCAATTTGGCTCACTCGCCTTCTTTATTTCGCGTAATTTTGTTCTACTTCTCCTTCCGACCAACGATTGTGCAATATATATATATTTAAAATCAATCCTGGTATTAGAATTATTTAGTTCCATTATCCACTAACGCGATTTAAGCCGATAGTTACATACGAGGATTAACGATATATATATTTCAATAACAATCAATCATACGATATTACTGGAGTGAGATCTTGAGCCACTAAAATATTATTATTAATGGCTTTATTCAGTATTATGTATTTGGTACAATATAGACTTCTCAGCACAAAGTATTTCAGCGGGTTTCCCTTTCTTATTTCTTGATCGACCCTTGTGATAAGTATTGAGTGGCTACCAGTTAAATGTTAGCAGTCCAGTCAATCGACATTTCAATAATGTACATTCTTTTCGATGTATAATACCAGCAACTATGATGTCTCTGATTGTGCTCTTTACTAACTTTTACAGTGAAATGTTGTACACTTTTCACAAACACACTCGAATAGTTATATGCGACTAATAGACATAATGATGTAATAAAACAAACGAGAAAAAACAGATAACCTCTCAATATATCTAAATGACAAGAAATAGATAGCTCAGATATTCAAACAGACCGCCGAATAATAAACAAAGAATATAAACATGTAAAATGCTATTTTTTTTCATTCACTATTTATTATTCAACTTGTTGTTGTTGTTGTCATTCACTTTAAATTCTGTTCTCTTTTTGTTTCTGTTTGTTTATTTCAGCTTGAATAAAAATGAATCACAATTGTCATCTGTAAATAATCTATCAGGTTTTGAATAGATATGGACAATTGATAAAGAAGATATAAAAAAAACAAAAGTTTTCTTTTCTTTAATATATATCAAATACAGATTATCGATTTAATTTTCTTTTTTTAAAAGAAAAAAAAAAGAAAAAAGAATTTCCACATTGATTTATTATTTTTTACATTTAATCTTACTAATGATAAATAACTTTATAAATTTCCGTTGTGAATAATGGGAACTTTTATTTCTTTCCACCTCCACCCCCACCTCCTAGTAAAATGTTTATTATATACATTATATTAAACTGTTCTGTTTGAATAAATAAAGTATATTTTACAGTTTATGTACATTTTTATTTGGCTTAAATGATTGATAAAATTAATAGAAAATTAAAACAATTATATAATAGTTGAATTCATGAGTCAATTAAAGTTAAACTACCGTGGAAGTAATGTACGGCCGTTTTTGTCCTAGAATGCAACAGCTTACGATCCTGATTCAGTACTAGTATTTGATCACAGATGTCATAGAAATATTGCTCGCATCTGCTGGGATCACCAGGTAAGTAATAATGAGGTTAGACATAAAGTATTTGGGAATGATGGCAAATCAGTTGATGAGGTTGTGAATCTTCATCGACTGAGATGGTTGGGCCACGTGTCACGTATGCCTGAACACCGATAATCACGACGCGCAATGCTGAATAGTGTTGGGGATGGCTTGAATAAAGTTAGGGTTGGCCAAACCTAAATGCGGTATCACTCCACCAAGTCACTAACTTCTAGTCTGAGCCATGTTGGTAGATGCAGACTACTTGGGTGGGGTCCGCGTGACTATCGTAACCAATGATTGGAGACTCTGGATGACATGGCTCAGAATCGAATACAACAGCGTAGATTTATACATTTTCTGTCTTTCTTTAAACTATGAGATTAAAATTGTTTCATATCTTTCTTTCTACGAACTAATTCTTTCTTCCTGTACCGTATCCTTATATGCAATCTTTCTCCTATATATTACCACCTTCGACCTAACCACTCCTATGAATCCGGTGTTCATCTTGCTGTGCTAATGCGGTATGGCAACCTGGACCGATGCATATATGTGCCTGGTTCTACGTTGTAGCTAACTGACGATCCCGCTCCTTCAGGATTCAAATCCAGGACCTATCGGTCTCGCGCGCGAACTCCTAATCTCTAGATCACTGAGCCGGTATCCAACGATGTTATTGTCTTACTTCGACCAATTCTAGGATCGTAGATGAGGAGTCCCACATCAAAACGAAACGGTTTTCCAATGCCTCTAGGTTTTCCATGGTGGTCTAGCTGCAATTGGCTCATGGACTCAACTACTAAAACTACTAAAATCTCCATAAAACCCTCTTTTGATAAAAATTATATAATGTGAAAATATCAGAATGAATGTAAATTATTTAAATTAGATAATAGAATAAATAAAACTGAACGTGTTTATTGTTCAATTTAATTAACGATGTTATTTGGAAGATATATTCACAAAATTATTTATTAACTTTAAAATTGGTTTGTTACTATGAATCGGTTTCACAATTCATTTTAGTAAATAGCAATCATAATTCAAGTATTCAATCTACTTCAAGATGAACTTATCTAACATTATACGCAAAGAAGGATAGTGGCTAACAATGAAATCAAGGATGCACATTTCGTCCCACTTGTGACTTGTCGGTTGAATGTATCTGCATCCCAGATTTAATATTCACTCCAGGACTCGAATAAAATACTGCTTGCTTCTAATGCCATCACGTTATCTAGTTAGCTACTGAATCTACATAGCAAACAGCTTGTGTAACGTAGCGAAGTTTTAGTTCATTTTGTATTGCTTGTTTGAATCTTCACACTGATGTTTAGGATCGCAATTAGTTAGTCTGTAATTGGCATATGTGCATCCTATGAGGATTGCCCCGATATTGCCTTAATTCACAAACCCTATAAGCAAATATAGATGGTGGCTAGCTGTAGAATCCAGGACACGCGTTTCATCCTATTTGGGACTGGCCAGTTGGATGTATCTTCATCCCAGATTTGATTTTCAATCCGGGATTCCAACCCAGTACCGTTCACTTCAAACTTCACTTAGCTACTGAGTCCTGGTAGCCACTGATCAAATGCAGTCTTAAACATCAATGGGAAGATTCAAACAACCAATACAAAATGAATTGAACTTATCATAGTTCTTACGGGAAAATGTGAAGTAAATCAACTTAAAAATAAAGTCAGTGGCAAAAACATTGAATTATGTGGTTGAGCGTTCAAATGAACTGACTAGTAATGAGATGCTTGAAGTATTGAACATTTTGCTTTATTTTTAACTCACCTGATATGCTAGTTAACAGTGATAATTCTCTTCAAGCTATAACAATCTATATAAAAAATGTTTTAGAAAATCCACAGAACAAAATATTTCTGATCCAGCTAGATTGACTTCATCGATTATTCACACATTCTAATGTTATAATATTTTTACCAAGGTTTGATTTGATAATTTCGAATAAATAGAGCATTGAGTAGATTGTTATAAATAAATAACATATTTGTAAAACCCCAATGAGTAGAAAATTAGATTTTCTGACGTTTCGTACCTTAGTGTAAGTCAATTCGTCAGAGAATAAATAACCAAATTAAAATTAATCCAAGTTTAAATAGTACAACGGAACAATTGTTTAACAACAGGTCAAATACTTTTGTGGTGGCTGGCACTATATGAAGCCCAAATAACTTATTCTAACTTACAAACGGAACAATTTAGTCGATGATTATTTACGAGGATTGGCGACATATTTAATTCGATAACGATAATTACACGATCAAACTGTAGCCAAACTTCGGGCCACTAAAGTGATGAACCTGTCGGCATCATCATTCGATCTAACTGGCGTCAAAATAACGGGCCACTAAACTTTCTTTAACCGGAATAACGATTTCACAGTTTTGTATTCTTGCAAGATTGTTAATGTGTTTATTGATTAGTTTTATAACAAATTGAGTGGATGAGAAAGTCGCACAAATATTACAGATTGAAAGAAAAATAAACAGTGAGACATTAAAATCACTTTCAAGCCAGATTACATCATGATCTTTAACCGATTATTTCTATTATGTTTGAAATTTTAGATAAAATGTTCACATGCCCATGTGTGCTTTAAAATAATATTCTGTGACTTTATGAAGTGGACTAATGGTAAAATATGAACCACATTATCTTACGAGGAATTCGCTTTTTTATTTGGGGGGATGAATGATCAATATTTTAATGCATGTTAAACATCTTCAAACTATTTATGCGTAAAATTATTGTCACAAAATTATGTTACAACATTATTGATATTAGTTAACTTTCAACCTAACTATTTATGTCATAATTAGAAGATGAAGTAAGTTTACTTTGAATTTGTAGTGCTTTGGTTTACCTTGTTGTTGATACTTTAACTGAAATTTGATCAATCCTAATTGCCTCAAATGTCAACGTAGGGATAACTTAAACAGTTACAAATTAAATTCAAATTCTTATCCGTTGCACAAGTGAATAGCTATTTAGACTAAGTAACTAAGCCGATAACACGTTGGGGTTTAGAGCAAAAGATAATGAACTCGAATCCTGAGGTGAAAATCAACTGACTTGTTCAAAACAAAACTAGACGCGCATCCTGGATTCCACTGTTAGCTACATTCTGCATACTCAAAATTCGCTTTTATTAAACGTTCATTTCAAAATGTAAGATTGAATAACAACACATATGTATATTGTAATAGAATGTTATACGTTTTCCTAAATTTCAAAATCATTTAATAAATTATTCCCTTGAAATGTAACATAACTTGATAAATAACGGTGAAAGACGTTCTGGTGTTCTCAAAATATGATCTGGAATCGTATCCACATGAAATTCTTCATTCTCCTCTTCATTCCTTGGTGTTATATCTTCAACGACTAGAATAAATTGTTCTGGATGAGTAGAAAAAACAAACAGGTCATACAATTCAAGATATGAAGTGAGTAATAAAACTGAGTAAAACTCAACATGCAATTCGTTAACACAGAAAACCATTATTTTCATAAAAGAAGCAATCAACAGATTACAATACATAATAAATTTTATGATTTATATCAAGGACTAATTATGGATAGCTAACCAGTGAAAACCAGGAAGCAATAAACATCTGTTTCTTCCTAGTATGAGACTCCTTAACGAAGTTCACCCAGGAGTCCATTGAGAAGAGAACCCGAGACTCATTAATTGTAGAGTAGAATAACGTACAGATTAATTTATCAATTCAAAATAAAGTGTTGTAATAATTTGTTGTAATCAGTGCTAATCAAATTCAATCGATCGAGTCTGGTATAACGGTAACAACGGAACTATCAAAACCTTCGTTTACCAATGATTTAATAATGACTATTCAATTATTTTTCGTAATCAAGAAAGAATATAATAAAAGACTACTGTAATTAGATAAGTCAACATTAAGACGAACTAATTTTAGAGGGCATATATGAATGGACCTAATTGGCAGTAGAAATATAATATTCCAAACTAATGACTTCTGATCAGATCAAGCTGATAAAATACAGAAAAATATTATTTTACAAGATTAACAATTAAAATTATGAGTCGATTGAAGCTAGACAACCATGGAAGAACCTGCAAGCATTGGACGGCCGTTTCGTCCTAGTATGGGACTCCTCAGCAGTGCGCTTCCAAGACCCCGCTCCGCGAGATTCGAACCTGGGACCTAACCATTAGAATACTGAGCCAGTCAGCATCCAATGGTGTTAATGTCTAACTTCAACTAATCCACGGAATTAAACGACATATCCGCCATTGTCTTCAGTGAGTTACTATCTCACAACAGAGCCGGCTGAACTACTGAGGAGTCCCACAATAGGATGAAATGACTGTCCAGTGCTTCCAGGTTTTCCATGATGGTCTATCTTCAATTGACTCATGATCTCAACTATTAAAATTTAAAAAATTGTAAAGAAAACTTAGACAACTTCAATTGACTTTATGTATTTGTTCAAATAATGCGAAAATATCACACCATAAAAACAATTGGCGTAAATTTGCTTTTAGTATAAATACATCTATAACTAATTTATCATTCATTCTCATCATTAGCTATGTGGTTAGAAATATATTCACTTGAATGAATCTTCCTATTTATCATTCTCATACAGAACAATGTCTAACCTGTTAATCAATAATCATTTATTCTAAGATCTTCAGATAGTCAGTGTCACTATTCTCTATTTGAATGTGTTAAAGGATCAGTCGAAATCATTATGTTTAAAATAAATTTATAGTAGATATTTTATTTGTATGGGAACATACTTTCTAATCTGTTCATTTAAAATAATCCGATTTATATGAACCGTCTAAAGCATGAAGGCTTGATCAATTGAGATTTCTGCATGTTAGTCCATTAGCACGATTATCTGACGATATAATTGTTACATAGAAAATGAGATTGTAAATTATTTCCTTCATTGGTTTTTGGAAAAAGATAACATATTCTACTGGATGATAGGTGATCATCAAAATTCCCAAGACCTAGATTTCGTGCTAGATGGTACTTGTTAGTAAGATAGTGTCCATCATATGAATAATTATGAAACTTTCCTATCGTGAAATGCCATCATAGTTCATATCAAGTAAAGCCCAGTGATAAGTTGTTAACACTTTGCCTCAATTTTTTTCACTACAAATTTATTGTTCACAGTTAACATATTGGAATGATTAATATTGTCTAATTTTACTGTCACAACTGAATTATTACTCATTTTAAGCAAAAATGGATAGTGGCTAGCAGTGAAATCCAGGATGCGCGTTTTGTCCGGGACTCAAACTGATTAGTAATATAATATTTTTGGTGTCGCGTATGCTTACTGAACTATCTGTTCACTTCACAATTCAAAATTAATCAAGAAGATACAATTATTTAAGCTCCAAATGGATATCTGTATATTTTGTGAACATTGAGTAATCTTCCCAAGTTAAACTGCTTATAACTTCTGACTGAGAATTAATTTGGAACATTCTGTTTCTTTTTTAAACTCTCTCTACAAGTCTACAAATATTAAAATAAGTCTCTTTAAAAGGAACTAGGTTTACGTTGTTATTGTCTTGTTATCTTAAAATATGGGTAATTTGTCATGAATGTTGATTAAGGCTAAATAAGTCATTAGACTTATGAATATGCGTAGATACAAACGACTTTAACAGATTTACGGATCATTTGTAGTCAATTACGTAAAACCATGTATATGTAACTAAACATTATAGTTCAAATCTTCCCATTGTGAAAACGTGACTACATCAATAGATATCAAAAGACTTAGCTTTATAAAGACTTATATATCTACATTTACAGTAGGTAAATCGAATTGCCTTTTTAAAATCCAATATACGAAAACGTGTAAATGAAGTCAGATAACTGACGATAAATAAAGAAGACTAAAAGACAATAATTTATTGCATATGCAATTCGTCTTTTAATAGGTTTATATTTCTTATATAACATTCTAGAAGAGAATAGTAAAATCCAACATAATCTCCTGCCTATAAACCTTACGTCCATTCTTATCCTAGTTGAATACAACAGTGAATTGGTGGGGTTCTGCATTGTAATATTTACTTCGGTATTATTTGTCCTCAAAGATCCTCATTCCTACAAATGAAGAACATAAGGAACTCAAAACAACTGTCAACCAATATCAATGTGAGGATCTTCAGTACGAACATCAAGACAGTGCCACTGTACGGAGCTTATTTATTTATTTAAACACATAAACACTGGTACAAAGAGGCACCAAATAGATATGCGCAACATAAATCATTCGACTTGTATGAGGGCTGTAATACTGCCCGGGTGCCCAAACCGAAGCAAGTGGTTTCCTTAGAGGACGAAACCGGGAGCCTCCGACCTAAAGGTTTGATCCGCAAGGCAGTGGAGAAACGTTAGGAGATGCAGTCTGATGGTAGTCGGTGACCAACGACTGGTTAATACGCTATTTGTTCCTTCAGGATACTGGAGCCCATACGCATCTTTGGTTTGCAATCAGGGTTTCCCAACTCTTCTGGGTGAACTCTCTGTGTCCACCAACCCGGTTAAAGCACCGGACGGAGGTGAAACGTAGAGATTTACTACAACCATCATCAAGAAGGCACAAGTATTTATAAACAGTTCTCTATGCAAGATACTGAATATCTGTTCTCCAGATACCATCAGCAATAGCCTTTTGTGGAAGAGGAATAACCAGCTTTCATTTGAAGAGGAAATTAGAAAAAGACGATGGACGTGGATAGGACATACATAGAGAAAACCACCAAACTGAATAACGAGCCAAGCCGTAACTTGAAATCTTGAAGGAAAGCGGAAAAGAGGAGGGCCAAAGAACACATTACGTCGGAAAATGGAAGCAGATATGATAAGAATGTACAGCAACTGAAAACAACTGGAAAGGATTTTCCAAGACAGAGTTGGACGGAGAGAGCTGGTGGGCGGTCTATACTTTTCCATGAAAGGTAACAAGGGTAGGTAAGTAAGTAAGTAATTCCTCGAGGTTATGAGTGGATAAACACCTGTCAACCACAGTCACATATCTGTTTGATTAAATTAACAGGTTCTAATTTTAATTGTAGATAAACAAAATATATAATCTTTTATGAAAGTAGCTGTCAATTAAGTCTAAATACAAAATTTGACTGTTTAGACACTCCCTTTAACATATTACAAATTTTAAACACTCAAAGAGTTTCTACACAGCTAAATAACTTTATTTTTAAACTGAACAAGTATTAATATTGGTTGGAAGGAGTTAATAAACACTAAATAATAGTTTGTTATAGCAACAAGTTACATCTATATGACAATCATTTGGAAAATCATATTTCTTTAGGAATAGTTAAAAAACTGGATAAATCTATGATGAAACTTTGAAAATGGATAAAAATTAAGAGGAACCCATATCTTCTCATTAACTTGCAATATTATTAAGTAAACGCTATTAAACCAATAAGTAATCTGTTTAAACTGTGTAGTTATGATTAAGATCATAGAAAAGACTTGTTACTCAGGTATTGGATTCTCTAAGCTGAATTATTAAGATCTATATTCATTAACTTCAACTGATTACGTATATCCTGGAGTTCTAGTGAGAAGCAGTGACCAGTGGAGTTCAACCGGGTCAGTTGTGAGATAGTAACTCACTGATGACAATAGTGGATGTGTCGCTCAATTTTGTGGATTATTTGAACTTACACATTAACATCGTTAGATGCCATCTCAAGCGTTCGAGCGCAAAACCGATAGGTCCTCGGTTCAAATCCCTCGAGGTGGGGACGTGGATGTGCACTGCTGAGGAGTCCAGTACTAGAACGGAACGGGCGTTGATTGCTTCCAGGTTTTTGTCTAGCTTCAATTGACTAATGATCTCAACTACTGAAATTATCTTCTAAATTGTTAATCTAATTTCCTCCTTTTGAAATGTTGTACGTTGTGGTCTATATCTTACACTTACCAGTATATATTACTAATAAAAATAATGAAAAGTTTACTTTTAATCAAAGTTCTTCCATTATCAAACAAATCAATAGTGTTTTATGATCTTAGCAACAAAAAAAACAGACAAACATAATACCATCAAATTTATTATCTTTAATCAAAAACAGATCACTTCATTTACCACCAAATTGTAGTTGATTAAGGCATGGTGAATTTGTAAATTCTTCAAATAAATGTACTGATTTTTCAATCTTTGATAAATCAATACAATATTCATGATCATCTAACATTGATATCTTCTTAACATCTTCTTCTACGTGGATTGTTTCATTTATATTTTGATTATTGATGAGAGATTTTATGATAGAATAAGAAATGAAACCACGTTTAGTAGATTGTTTATACACAAATACTTCATTCAGTAATTGTTGATTTTCTAAATAAAATAATGATGATAATAATAGAACAAAAAGTTAACATTCGAAAATAATGCGATTCATAATTGATTTTTATGTTTTGTAGGTTGTTACCATTAAAAGTATTACATTGAAAGTGAATAGGACATACATTAAAGAAATCATTACACTGAATCACAAGGTAAGCCTTAATTTGGAATCCTGAAGGGAAATGAAAAAGAGGAAGGTTAAAGAATACACTACGTCGGGAAATGAAAACAAATATGAAAAGATTAAATAGCAACTGGAAACAACTGGAAAGGAATACCCAGGACAAAGTTGATTGGAGAGTACTGATTATTGACTTATGCTCCTTCGCGAGGAGTAACATGTGTAAGTAAGTAATTGAGATGAATCATACAAGCATTAGGAATTAAACCTCCTATCAAATATCTATTCTACTTGTTTAACACACACAACAAATACATCACTAAACTAATGCATCCAATTTAAAATCTAGGAATCATTCATGTTTCAAATTCCACGGCAGTGTGAATACAAATGCTACTAATCAATCAAAGTTCAATAAACGTTAGAGACCAGAGGATTCCAACATTTCCATTTACTAGTACACTAAACGGATAAGAAAGTAGATGGACGAAGTTCATAAGCTGTAGAATTTGTTTTCTAAAAACAAACGAAATATATTTGTCATAAGATAAAGGTGTAAATCATCTATTAAAGTTCGAGATTCCATAACACCTCTTCAGAGTAAATAAATCTCAAGAAGTGACTTACACCAAGTCACGAAACGTCAGAAATACAATTTTCCTACTCATTAAGATATAACAAAAATATACTTATTACAAACTAATGGTTACTTAAAAATTTTCATTTTCAATTCAACATACTATTCATAGTGATTATCATTTTTACTCTCCGTCAAATTGTAAGTTTAAAATCTGTCCAAAGGTGAATAAGGTTAGGATCATAGAGTATTTTATGACCTTCATTTTTTCGAGATCACGAGTCAATTGAAGCTAGACCACCACGAAAAACCCGGGAAGCACTGGACGATCGTTTCGTCCCATCGTGGGACTCCTCATCAGTGCGCATCCACAATCCCGCCTCGTGAGATTCAAAGACGGAAATGAAGGTCACGGGGTGATAATTAATGATCTTACCTTTTTGCATGTTACTTTAAAATAGAACATAAACAACAGAACTCAAAAATATAATAAAACAAATAACTTACCATTTTCTATAATACTATTACTCGGTTGATTATTTACATTCCTTTTATCTTCTTCGTTTAAATCAAAATTAGTTATAATATGATCGATGTTATCATCAATTGAATGAACTGGTGAATTTTGTTCATCTATTCCTGTTTTATTGGAAATTAACTTTACTGAACCAACTGGATAGATGTATGAACCGCTTTTAGAAAATGGTAATGAATTAAATAATTAGATGCATTAACATGCAAATAATTAATAATGTTAAACAATGATCTTATAATTTAAACATGAACTAATCTTAAATAAACGACTGTTGAAAAATTGTAAGCACTGCATTGAGGTTTCATCATAGTGTGAGACTCCTAATTAGTGTAGACTCACGACACTGCGTCTAAGAATTGCATCCAGGACCTTTGACTCCATATGCCAATTCCTAACTTTTGGACCACTGAGTCGGTATCTGACGGTGTCCGTGTCCAAATTCAATCAATTCATGATATTGTGCAACCCTCATCCATTGTCTGCGGTGACTAGCGGAGTCCAACCACGTTGGGTGTAGGATAGTGATCCACCGCTATGACCATTGAGATATATAATTCAGTACCATGGTACGCTTTATTTGATATTATAAGGCTGTAAGAAACCGAAAAACAGTTCTAGATCTAGGTTTTATGCAAGTTAACATACATTAACACAGTGTATCTGCTTTGTTGAAAAAAAGCCGCTAATCCACATATTCCATTATAGAAGTCAAGATGTCAAAAATCTCACTGGTAACTTATATAACTTTAGCCGTGGATAATGCATGTACAAATCTCTGAGGAAACATTGGTTTCCACAAGATTTTAAGGAAGCCTTACTTCTAAACATTGACTAGCACTAAACCACAGTACTTCAAAATAGATTAAAACTTATTGTCGAAATGTTTCACAGTTTTTTAAAGCTTACCAAAAGATATCAAAATTAAAAATATTTCTAAAAAAATAAAGTATATCTTGTTAACAGAACTAGTAATCTGTATTAAATTTGGACTCATACCACCTTGTGGATGGAGAAATGAATAAGGTTACTATAAGCGAGTTAAGTGAAGTATGGTTCAGAGACGTAAGTCAAAAATTGAATATCAGGTAATCGAAACACGAATTTCGTGTATTAAATAAATGGATTATGGTTAGCAGTGGAATCCTGGATTCCTGTTTTGTCCAACTTGAGAACTCACCAACTGAATGAATCTACATGCCAGAGCCGACTTTTACTCCAAGACTCGAACCTGATGCTATTCGCTTTAAAAGCCAATTCGTTATCCACTTAGCTACTGAATCCAGGACGTAACTCTAACCCTGGATTCAATTGCCAGACATATGTCATCTATTCTACATAAAACGAATGTTATACTAGACAATATATCACATTATAATAAGTTGAACATTGTAATATCTAGTACTACGTCCAATCCACATGGGTTGAGTCACATTTTGACGTTGTGAATTATTCCCTTATCATTATACGAGCGTATGCCTGTTAAGTGCTTACCCTATTCATTACGTGTCTGTGACTTATTTTTGTCTGACTATTGAATCATGCTTAATCCAATGGGTTGGCTTACTTGCCTCCTCCCCCTTGTTTCGTTTCTCATTTTTTCAACGACAGTCCTCGCTTGGCATCGCCTTCTCGTAAATATGTATGTGCTTGAATCTTATTAGTTGATTCGACAACGAATTCGCCTCTGTATTCACTCGCTCGCCCGCATTCGCATTTATGCTAAAATTTGCTTGATATGCTTGATATGGGTTATCGATCTATGCTTTTCAATAATAAACTGTGGTCGGTGCTTCATGTTGTCTTCTGAACTTATACACCGTTGGGATTTATTTAATAATGGTTATCAGGGCGATTGAAATACAAGGCCTAAAGAATTATCTCGAAGCTAATCCACTACAATATTATACTAAGAAATGATCATACTGAATTAAAGAAAAGGAGGAAAGCTGGATAAAAACCACATTTTAAAAATTGCCATTCCAATAGATTGGAATCCGAAATACGTTTTATTCCATGAACATTTTTATGTATGGATTGTGAGGTAATCTGAGACGAGAGAAAGAGAGAGAAAACCATCTAATTATCCATGATTTTTAATGTTTCTTCACTTCATGATGAAAAGTACTTTGAAGAAATACAAGTGTTTATTGTTTGGAACTATCAATAATGGTTAATAATGACATTGTAGTCTGTTAAATTGTTGCATATAATCGTTAATAAATTCAATAGCTATTAATACTTTAAAAAACACATCATTACCTAATATTTCAATTAAATAAGTAAGTTAATACAGATAGCCATTACATCAAATAAGAAATAAAACCAAAAAAGATAAGCAAACACAAATGTTTCATTTTTTGAAACAAACCATTCCGGCGAGACTATAATCTATAGACGAACCAATCACGTATAAGATAGCAGGTCTCGGATATTGGCGCGAAATTCATTCTCTTTTTTTTGGCTAAATAGAGTTTTGGCATTATAGCTGATGTCATTACGTGATGAAAACCCTAAATATAATTCCTAACCTTAACCATCAACTGTAAATTATAATTCGAATTCTTCACACTAATTTATAACCCTCATTCGGTCCTAGTTATCAGGTGGACACTCTTAAGGTCAGTCTAGCGTCGCTCAAAAGTCATCCGTAAATTATAGTCTCACCACCATTCCTTCAAAAATATATTAATAATCCTTGATAAAGAATGTAACTCATTTAGATAACTCATTTATCTAAAATTGTTGAAGTCCATGGGCAATAAAACGCTTCATAAGCAAATAAAAGATGGATAGTATTGAAAAGCAATGAAATTGTAAAATTATCGCTGCTTATAGTGTAGAATAAGCTCATTATATTTAATACTTGCGATCATTTTACTATCCCTTTTATTGGAAAAAGTTATGTATATTAGAGTGTAATTTTCAATGGATTCTATTGTAAACCCTGACCCTCACTATATTTTTGCTTTTTATCTATGAGTTTAGACTGTACAACATTGAGATATTTATAAGAAACAGGTATATATAACTCCAAACACTTGAAATAAAACCTTTAGTGAAAATTACACTATTATATTCAACATTTACCTAGAACATACATACAATACATAATTAACAATGAAGATGTTTTGAATAACCATAGTCTGAAATCATAGATAGTTTTGAAATCATTGTTTGATGTATCAAAAGAGATTTTTATTTTATTCATTTGTTCAAATAGTTTTATCACCATTTCGACTGTTTAGTTTGATATTCTGAAACATTCAGAAATTTATTTAACCTGTTCACTTCAGAAGATTACTTACTTATGCCTGTTACTCCTCATGGAGGAGCGTAGGCCGCCCACCAGCACTATTCATCCAACCCTGTCCTAGGCAATCTTGATATATTTACAATATTTACAATAAATGTTTAGATGTACGATTTGATTATAATCCTCGACTAATTTGGATCGAAACAATTTTAGTTCGCGATAAAATCAAGTTATCTTCGTTTGTATATTAATTAGGAAACTAATCGAATCAGTTACAAACTTGAGAAACCGTTTATTTTGGCTAGTAAATACTAGTTTCGCCCTTCCTTCAGCTATTGTAAATTTAATTTAATTAGTATGGATAATGCAAAATATTAAAATTAAATCAAAATTCATACCCAATACACAAGTGAATGATTATCTGGGCTTAGATAATAAATAGATAACGCGTTGGCATTTGAAGTGAGTGGCACTAGATTTGCATACCAGAGTGAACATCAACACAGATGATGAAAGTACATCTGGCTGGTCAGTCGCACATAGGACAAAACCTGCATCCTGGATTACACTGCTAACTACATTTCATCTATTTTATACAAGTTTTATCCTCATAGTATTGATTTAAAAAATATTTTTTCAACTAGATTTCAGTTGTTATGTTTTAGTTACTAGTTTAAAATAAAAAAATCGGGCTTAGTTAATCGTCTTTCTCTTTCACTTATTGAACTGTAGTCATATTTCGCGTATAAGTAACCGAAAATAACTTAAATGAATTGCAGAGATTTTATAAATGTTAATCAGGTTGGATGATAATTTTTTTAAAATGGCAAGAATACACAAACACAGGAAAATGATAGATAAAACGAATCAAAGTTTGTTTTAAGTAAAGAGGTTTGTGGAGATTATTGATATGATGAACCGACCCAAGTTAAACACTCATTTATATTTATGAAAGAAGTGAACTCTAGCTCAAAGATTCGAAGGTTAAGTGTTCGTACATGAGACAGAAGGTCTCCAGTGACCGTGAATGTACGCTGATGAGAAGTCGGATACTAGGACAATACAACTATCCAGTGCTTTCTGCTTTCCAGTGAATGTTCGGCTCCCGATATCAATAACAGTCTGGATATAAATTCGTTTCGATTACATCAAGTTACTTAATAACAAAACGTAGTAAAACTGATTGCCATCAATTAGCCTAACGGCTCCTTTACAACTTAGATAACACTAAGAACAAGAGTTGAAAACTAGTACTTCTAACTGATCAATTATTTGAAAATTTCATCCCTCTAAAAGGTCACCTGTAATCAATACACCTCAAAGGTTATGTTTCTAACTGAGCTATTAAGCAGTATTAATCTCTTCATGGTTGTAAATACGTCTACTTATAACAAACTATCTTTTATACTCGTCTAATTTTAGAAACCATCAAATGAATACAATATATTAATGAGTTCAGTTTCGTTAACAATTATCACATCTCGCAGGGGGCGAGGTCATGGATACGCATTGCTGAGGAGTCCCACAATACAACGAAACGGCCGTTCAGTGCTTCCAGGCTTTCCATGGTAGTCTAGCTTCAATCAACTACACAACATACTATTTCAATCTAATCAATCCATCAGTATTTTATTCATTAACTTATCAACCTAAATGTGATTATTAGCCAATCAAAAAATAGTTTCTAATCAATAAAAATGATCCTTTAAGTATATACTACAATTTCACTATTTCATGTGATTAGTTTTACATGAGTTAATTAAATTTATTGATTAGTGGATCCAATTATAAACTCAATTCAAAACTATTATAATGCATTTTATGCAATTACTGTAATTTGTAATAGTTGTATTAAGAAGCTTTTTTTAAAGTAATGTTAATAATCATAGTAATTATTTACCATTCACTTGAGTAAACAAGAATGAATTTTCATACACAAAGTAAGTATTATGTATAGATAAAGAATAAGTGATGCGAAATTTGTACTCGTTAAAATAGTAGGCGTTTTTATATTCTTTCTATATTATACATTTCAAATGTTTGATTGTTTAAAGCTATTGATAGTAAGCTTTATACTGAGATCATACGACTCGAAATGTATCACCAAACTGAATTTATTGTTTTGAAGTTTTTTTTGGTAGGGGGGGTATATTACTAGGAATTTAAACCCAATAAGTAACATAATCGGAGCTATTTGGTCAGTAATTAATATCTAATAATATTGAGATAAATAATTAGTAACATTCAAGTTATTATATAGTCTAGTTATTTCTTAGTACTGATAGAACTCTATCAAGTATGTAACAACACAAACTTTATGGTTCAAGTTATTTGATATTGTAGTACACTTTATTTCTTTTTTTTGTCAAATGTTGGGAAGTGATAAAGATAATGGTCAGTAAGAGACACATCCACCATTGTCTTCAGTAAGTCACTATCTCACAAAATTATTGCCTTTAGTTATTGTAGAAAGAAACATTTTAATCATCTTAATACATTTACGTTTTAATTCGTTACTAACTTATTAAGTCTATTGTTATTATTCGTATTACATTATCTAGTATTATAATCTTTCTACTAAGTCATCTTAGTTATTCGTGTTCACATTTCCGCGTGGAACCAGTACTTTAACAAAAAAATTTCATCTGTATATATACAATTGTACAAGATGATAATAAATTCGTTGAAAATAGATCCTTTTGTTGAACTTCGTGTTTTTACTATAGACTTCATTACCAATAAAAGAAATATAAAGGAACTAAGTAAATAAATACATAAAGAAAAAGGAGCATGACCATCTAAGATGAACAATACACAAACTGAGATAACAAAACAACCTGAAAATAATTAAGGATAAAATGAAATTAGAGTAAGAGAAAAAGGGGGCTGAACTTATAAAAGAATGTAAACTATCTCTATACGATTCAATTTCTTATTAAATCTCAATCCATGGTAATTCATTATAGTTTTTTTAGGTTTGATGAGAATTTACAAACTCATTATCTCATTTAGGATAAAATAAACGAATTTAAAAAAAAAAGAAAATATTACTAACAAATGAATTACTTAAATATCTGACTAAACAAATTTCAAGTCACTTTAATGCGAATTCATTTAGTATTGTTTGCTTATACCTTCCATTGTTGTTTAGGACTGCAATTGATTGGTCTTTTGTTGGTATATGTGCATCCTGTGAAGATTGCTTTGGTATTGACTGAAGTCACAAGCAAAGATGAATAGTGGCTGGCGGTGGAATCCAGGATACGAGTCCAAAAACCTCATAGGATCCACATATGCCAACAAGAGATTGATCAATTGGATGAACATTTTTTGTCTTTTGAACCGAATGAATAGCTTGAAATATGTTTTGAGATCATAAACCTATCCAAGTAATATATTCACTGGAAACCAGGAAGCACTGGAAAGTTGTTTAACTCTACTATAGGATTCTTCAACGGTGTGGATATATGACTACACTGAGGATTGAACCTAGGTCATAAAGTGAAGCGATGAACGTTTCACCTCTAGACCACTGGCCTAGCACACATTGGTTTACATATCTAACTTCAACTAGTTTACGGTAGTGAGCCACCATCTTCTACTGTCTTCAGTGGGTAGATGCATCACACTTGACATAGTTGAACTCTAATGGTCACGACTATACAACAGAAATCCAGAAATGGAATCATGAAGTTAGTCATTATTGAGTACTTGATAATTATAAGTACATAGGTTTACCGATGAGCACTACTGCGGAGTCCCAAACTATGAACAAATAGTCGTACAGTAATTTCCGGTTTCCTACGGTTATGTGACATAAGTCGGCTCGTAATCTCGATAAGGTTCACCACCTCATAAAAAATCACCCTATACTATTAAAACAATTGGCTGTTTCCAGAAATGAAATGATCACTTACAAAGGTGTCTCCATTGTATAAATCCCTTTTTCCTTTAGTAATAACAAGAGTGGCGTTTCCACTGAAATTTGAAGATCAACAGAAAATTTCCTTTGCATATTATCTTTACAAACTTTTCCTATCCATAAAGCAAGTTGTCGATGACTTTCTAAAAAGTTTAAGATTAAATAAGATTATTCAATTGATATAAAACTATTAAAAATGGTCTACTTTCACTTAGTAAATAGTATGTCTCTTGTTGGATAAAATAAATGACTTTGAATTTATAGACTGCACTAATTAAGAGTCAGTTAATTAGGCAAACACAATATGAAACCCTATATATGTGTACATTGACTCAAGTTGTAATACCCCAATAATATTGTGAAATGAAATTGTCAAGAAACATCCCAGAGTAGTAGAGTTAGTAACAGTGGTCATAGTAATAGGAAAGGTTGAGCATATGAGATAAAATTTAAAAAGAAAATATAGATCAATGAAATGTAAAAAACATTTATAAAGAATATAAAGTTTTAGGAGAAGATTTTGAGTGAATGCACGTGCAATGTCACGAACAATTTTGAACCATGGCACCCAAAGTCTCTAATTAGATGCAATCACCATTAAGAGCTACCGAAAAAAAAATATTCCTCTGATTGGTGTAAATCACAAAGATCAACATTTATTGCAATACCGTTTAAATTTTCACAATAATTCTTGTCAAGAAGCTCCCTCCTACTGTGAAAATAAACATGAATCGCAGTTAAGGCTTCATGAGAATTCTGACAAAATTGTGACACATTTAGATAATATATGGTGTTGAGATCCTTTAAATAAAATACACTTCTTTTATGACAGTAATGAACTAATAGACAGATCTGTCAAATGTATTTAGCCTTGGAAATTACGATATTTATGTGACATTAGTTTTTGCCATAGCATCAAAATCACAATAGTTTTTTACTGTCCTGTTATAAAAGCTCAATCACCCATTGTTTATGAGTATTGTAATAACTCAGTTCTTAGGCATGTGACATTTGAGAATATTTTATTGTCATGTTAACGCATCATACTACTTAGTTCTTAATAAGTAACAATGTCAGTTACTTTGAATAAATCAGGCGGTTTACTGAGAGAATAGAAACACTTCGGGAGGTTATATGTCCATATAAAGAGTCCTAATTAGGAAAAATGTCGTAATCTAGACTTAATTACCAGTCAAGCCCAAACATTTAAACACAATTTATAGTATTCCAGCAAAGAGCTTATATGTTAAAACTGATCGTTCAATATGGTCAAAGTAAATAGAAAAAGGGAGTTATTTGGTCTAGTAATAGCTTAATCTTCGTCATACTTCAATAGTCCGGTGGCCTGGTTGATAGCAAATTGACGATGATAGAATTAAAAGATAGATGCATCCCACTGACAAGACTTAGATTTGACGAAACGAGTGCATCATATTTGACTGCTCATCATAAATAACTAAATATAAATTATCAACTAACTTAAAACAAACTCTCAACAAAACAAATGTTTACCTTCAATTAAAATCCTTCGAGTATTATTGTATATGCAAATATCAATATTAAATTTCATCTCCAATTCATTTGAAACAATTTCCATCCTTGAAGATGAAGCAAACTGATAACTTTTCTCTTTGATTGGAGAATTTTGATATTCAACTAAACAGGATGAATTGGAGCCTAAATTCTCTTTTTCCAATTCAATTGACAACTTCATATGATTTGCTACTTGACAGGGTAGACCATCTTTCCATAAACCTTCATAATCAGGTAACAGATTTGCTTTGCGTGTTAGTTTACCCTGTCCATTTGGTTTACCATTTTTGAATTCCCCCTAGAATGAATTAGTAATGTAGTCATTGATAGTTAAATATTTGATAGACTAAATGGCAAAGTAATTTCAAGTAGTAAAGACATGAAATTGAGTTTTGTGAAACACGTTTGATTTACGATGTTCATTTGTTGCTTTAACTGAGGTTTCATTTGCATTAATAGGATTTCAACTACAGGATAGTGTTTACGTTAACGGAGAGGAGCCTAAAATATAATTGGAAACTCAGAGTAGGTGGTTAACACTTACTTAAATTTATTTAGGGGACAAGATATATAAACAGTACACAAAATTGGGCAAATAAAGAAACAATGGATAACAATACACAGTATGTTAACCCTAACTATCAAATTTCATGGTGTAACTGGAAGGAAAATTATTTCGTGATATCAATTAAGGCAAGCTAATTCTTTTGAGGCACAAACTTTCATGTATAGCCATAAAAGTATGATGTTTATTTGAATAAATACTGAAAGAAAGAATAATTAACAGGAGGAAGGTCTTGAAAAGTTTGAAAAGTGTTTAAAGAGTTGCTGGGGGAAATCCTACAGAATGTTTGGTCAAATGTCATCTTAATGAAATCAAAATATAACCTCAGAGCCGTTTCTATGCCTACAAACAATCTGGTTAAATTTTCTTAGAATATAAGATCTCCCAAAACTTTCTTGAGTGACTAACTTAAGTTTCAATTCATAGGAACTCAGATTCAATCAATTTTTAGTTGGTAAGCTGTGACTATCTTAATTTGTTTAAAAATAAACATTATGAGTAAACTACACTGGGAAAAAATGCCCGTGTTTAACTGGATATACGTTATTTCCGTGTATTTGAAAGCTCGATAATACACAAATTCTTACTTGCGAATACAAAACAGCTTCTAGTGGAAATGTAATCAGTTAAAATATCGACATATCCATAATATAATGTAACTCATAAAGCCTATGGAACAAAGCCTGCATAGTTCACATATCTTAGTAAGGTTGGATAGCAAATTATTACAAGTACAGCAGTAGAAATGAGCCATAATGGACAAATAAAGTATCTTCTTATCGAAATCCTAACATACAGAATATTGATTTAGTTAAATATAAATCAGTTGAAGACAATTTTTATCGAGAATAAAAATCTTCCATATAGTTAGCTACGTCTCAATGTTATTTGGCTATACAATAGTCAAGAGTTTATTTTAGTGGTTAGATTGTGGCAAAGATCTTGCAGAAATTAACCCAACTTCATACAGAAATTTTTTAATTAAAATTCCCAGTTGTACAAAATCTGCTGCTGACACTCTACATCATGCGTCAATTTCCTCTGCATTTCTAATTTATTTACATTATACGCCAAATTTCAAGACAAATAAAGTCGACGTTTTTTTATTTTTTATACATCTTACTCCTAATAAAAAAGATTCACACGAAGTTATCAGTATATCATGAGTGTAGTAAATAGAACACAAGTGGGGGCAATCGAATTGTATCTAGCACAAAATCACAGTTACTTGGTAGAATAGAAAATCCTATAGTAAATCGTTAGCTTGTAAAATATCAATCCATCATATCAAACCGGACTGTTCCTGTTACAATCATCAATCCATTGTCTCACATTTTATTGTTCATGCGTTTTCTTGCAAATTGCATTGTGTTCCCGCTATTCCTTACTTGATCTTCTCCCATCTTCTGTTGCCAGACATTACGTCATATACTACTTACACCAATATAAGTAGCACACACCACATGAGTACTACGATAACAGTTATAAGTTGTGTTCATGACGTTTATTTATTTTCTGGTGTTCACAAGTATGACAGTTGCGGAAATTTACACAAATAATCCTAGTCATATTTCTATCTTGATCACTACACCTAGATTCCTCATGGTACAGTTATTTTTTTAATCAATTAAGTACTACAATACCACCATAAATAACTGTCCTATATAACTAGCGAACATCAGACTCTATTAAATACTGAATAGACGAAGCGGATTATTGATCTTATTGCTAATTTTAATGAGATCTGTATATTAAACAATATATCAATCACAATGCACGTATCTTAACTAATAAAACTGACTGCATTTTAGCCACACACAAAATAATTGAATTAGAAGTTTATTATCATTATATGAATGGCTTTAACATATACTGTGGTCAATTAAACAATGAAAAACATGGATTAAACGTATAAAGTAACTAAGTTTTCATCATTTAATATTTTAAATATTGCTGTTCTACAAGATGTTTTAAGTATAATACAGAACATTATAACTTATATGAAGAGAAGTATAATGTCTTAATAGCTGGACGTCAAATTTTGAATCCATTTCAGATGTACTTCAGACTAATAACACATTTAAAAAATAAAAATAACTGTCTGTTTTACAAGATCAACTACTTGTATGGTATGTAATTGATAATTACGCTGCTAAAATTACTGTATTATCATTAAAAATACAAAAGTAAATCTCATTATTTGAGTAAGTTGCTCTTACTTCATATGTCATTCCGTTTATCATTTTCAGAATACCATTACCATCATAAATATTATTTTTCCAATATCCTATGTAAGAAAATCTTCGGCAAATTATCCATAAACTGAAAACTCTTACATACTTGTGTGAATGTAGACATCCTGGTCCACTTTTTTTATTTTGAAAAAACTCACCGACATATTTATTCTTGTCTACATCGACATACTTTCCATGACCTTTGTTTAGTTTTTTAGGAAGGAATTATTACCTTGTTGTAAATTATGATACCAATCTCCTTCGTACGTGGATCCATCCCCATAATTCATTAGACCGTACCCATGACGTTCCCCGAACAAAAAGTGACCGATATATTCGTTTTTTGATAGTGCATAAAATCTTCGTCCACTTCCACACATCTCCCCATCAATAAAGCTGCCTTCATAAATACTTCCATCCTTCATAGAAAATGTTCCAGTTCCTAAGACATTAGGTAAAGCCAAAACACTCACCACATCTTTTGCCATTAATCCATTCACCTTCATACTTGTAGTATCCATTTTTATAAAAATATGTACCCATGCCTGATCAGCGTCTTATAAGTATTAAGAAAAACCTACTATTGCGCTTCATTTTGCACGTCTGACCAACGTAAGATCCAGTTAGCATTGTTGTTATTACGAACTCTTTGATTTAGAGGTCAAGAATCTCTCCACAACCTTTGTTTTTAATTACAGAGACACAGTAAGTTTTTTTAGATAGTTTGACATAAAAACATGATGCTTCCGTAAAGCTAATCACTAAATGGGTTAGTATCACGGTGCTGGCAGTGAGTTTCACTCAGTGACTAACGAATAATGGATTTTGAATTCTATCTGAAGTTATTTTTGTGTTCATAAGACCACGGGACTCAGTTCATAAAATTATTGATCTTACAAAAAACAAAAGATGCAAATGTTATTTCTCAGTCCACTGTTTGGAATGTTTCATGACATCGTCACACAACGCTTCATCCAAGGACATGACAGAAAAATCCAAAACACTTCGATCATTTCTGTAACAAAATGGTTTCCTTCAGAGTAAGCTGGCAAAATCAAACTTTGTTTTTAAAGTAAGATCTCTTAGCGTCAATGTAATACTTCAAGCGATACTGTACACAAATTTGGTGATTTGTTGTCATCTCAGATGTATACAAATAATTGGAAAAAAAGTTTGAACAAATATTCACGCTATGGTTGTGGTCACAATTGACCATTTGTTCAACAGATACGCTGTTAACCGATTTGTATTACTCTTTAAGTAACCATCAAAGCTAGTGTTCGAATATTCGTTTACCAAGTGCTTAATTTGTACACCTAATATAACCTGCTCCACAAGAGCAAGCAAACTGGTAGATACACAGTGTGGTGACCCAGAGCTATAAATTATCCTTAACACTTATCAGCAAACGCCTATAGCAGTTGACCATTTCAAACCCAAACGATGTGATCAGAAAAGTCATGTGTTCAATCCCTTATTGACCCATGATTCTAACAACCCTTTTAATTTCACAAATAATATTGTTACTTATCTCGTCATCTGTCAAGTGGACATTTATTTTTAGCTTCCATTCCGTAAATTATTACTTCTAATAACTTCAGTAACCATTAAATAACGTAAGCGCTTGATAATTTCTGGTTTACTTGTTAAATAAGACAATCATTTTTATTTAGCACTTGGAAACTTTAAGTATACTCAAACAACACCTGTATATTCGTGAATTAATATACTTGATGCTTGAAGTAAAGTTTTGATCATCGTTACTATACAACACAACATCAATCCAATTCCATTGACTTGCAGTTGAATAAGTTTGACCACTTTTGATAATCTTTTAAAACCTCTGTATTTCACCATAGAATACTACGTGTAAAGATTACCTACAAATACGATTTTGCAGCTTCAAAAAATTGTATTGTGGTAAAGAAACGTTTCTTTGCTGGAACGTCTTCATTCTTTTTTAAATTTGTATCAATTGAAACTTGCACTTTTATTTCAAGTAGGTGACGATATTGATGTTGTAACTAACTTATATAGTCTGTTATGCATATATGGATGAAAATGTTTTATAACTTGTTTTGAGCCTTACAGTATCCTGCCAAATATAACTATAAATTTTTAAATACAGTATGAGACCATACATGAGATAATTTAGTTTTTCAATGTCATTTACTAGTTTAGTTATTTTCGTTGTTGATTAAGGCACGATTATCTGCTCTTATACATAGTACGGAGTTCTATAGAGAATACAGAAAAGATAAACCGAAAACATTCACTTCCTACGTCTACAACTGCTTCAAAGTGGGTACTGACTGAACGATTTCTATCATTATTACCCTAAATGTATACCGACGTATTTTGATAGACCTCCCTACATGAACTGCAACATTATCTATGTCAAATAAGAGAGATCCTTGGATTGCTGAAGATATGAATGTATGAATAGATGAAACTTTAAAATCATGTGTATGGCTTTTTCACATTTTAACTACAGCCTGTCAATTGCACTGGTAAAGAATCGGTTCGGTGGAAGAGATTTGGATCATTGTATAGTTTTCAGCCCACGGTTGCACAACTGAAAAACAATCAGGTCAAAAAGTAGCGACGTTTTATAAAAAAGTTTATTTCGTGAAGAAACGTTTGAGAGGGGTACATTTTCCGCTTACATTGAAAAGCAGTAAATCCGCTTGTAAACCTTTGCAGAACACGGGGAAACTTTCTATACCAAAGCTTAATTACAATCAAACACTGAAAGTTCATGAACTGTCTCAATCGCTTCACAGTAGTATCGCTCAAAAGTTCGATCTGCTGCTTAACGGCCGTAGAGATAAAGCCGGTATTGGGTCTTTCCGATCTTTATTTTTAATGGTGTCTAAAAAATTTAGATACCCTCAGAATATCCTACATAGCAGCCCAGTCTTATGCTGGCACACCTTTTATGTGAAAACGTCATTCAGATGCTGACAATATATTACATTTTTGCTCCATATGGGATAGATTATACAGGAAGCCATCACAAATGTGAGCAGTAACCTCAATCAAGAAAACTCGGGGTATGATTCCACTTTTTGATCAAGTGGCCAGTAACCGATGCACCCAAAACGCGCTAGACGAAGCGATGAATGCTTTCAAAAATAAGTTTGAGCTTTATAGAAATACCTAACTCAAGGACTAACAATGTCTGACCGACCTATAGGATGGTATAGGATCCCTGTGAATGAAGACTAGACTTCTCCAAGTCTCTTTCTATCCTGAAGATGGAGCTGCACCTTATGGATGATCGGAATGCAAGAGCGCCTTCTAAATTTTAAGAGTAGTCAGGTCTTGAAATCGCCTGCTGACTAATCTAGTGAAAGATGCTTCTACGACGTTCGTCATGAGGATGTGAAAACTATTCTTCAGAACTCGGAAAAGCAGCTCATAGTAGTTTAATACAATCTATTGTTAGAAGTCGTGCCTCAAGTACAACCTGGTTTACCGTATTTCTGATGTGAGTATATTCCACGTAAGGCTTGTTCTATGCATCTATCAAGTTGGGGGTAACTGTTTATGAACTTTGATAAAGTGTATCTAAAGTTTCTGGGGATGTTACGCACACTTTTGATTTTGCGCAGACTCTAAGAGCATCACAACGACCTACTATCCTATGTAACCAATAGCCCTATGAGTTAATTAGTAAACCCATACAATATCCAATGTTCAGCGAGGAACGGTCTAACCACTTAAATGCACTATTTCCTGTCAGTCTGGTGGTTATTTGTCGATTTGTATATCATGTGATCGTAGTGAGTTTGTTTCGGCTACCTCAATATCATGCAAGAGGTTGGTTGATCGCAATGCGAAAAAGAATAACGAGAAAATTCGAGTGCTCAGAGAAGACGATTGTTTCAATAACTAAATAAATAACTTAATCAACTAGTAGTGCAGACATTATGGGGGGACCCAAATTAAGGAGCAGAAAAAGGAATGGAGATGATAACAACCGAGACGGAAGTTGATGAAATGTGATGATAACAGAATATAAGTTACTAGACATTCATCGTTCACAACTAAGCTGAGCGAGATATATTAACTCTCGAGTGAGTGCATATTTGAAGCCATATATTGAGGTGGCGATTTTCACTTTCGCTGGAGGAAAACTTCGAATTGGAGTAAGTCTTTACAAAAAATATGGCAGGGTACCTGATTATGTGCTCTGTGATGTGTTGTCTTTTGAATCCACATCTTCTGCATTCTACTGGCGAAAACAACGATAAAAATATGCTTTCGACCCTAAGTCTTAAATCCAGTGTGTTGATACTAAGTATATAGGATTTTGTGTCTTGTTTATGTTAGAGGCAGATATTATTCAGGTAGGTCGCCCGTCTAACTACATCAGATTCCACCTGACGGAAAGCTTACGCAGAAACCGTATTTCGCCTCCACAGAGGTGCACCAAGTATTCAAGACGAAATTGTTAGATTTTATAGACGATTACATTTTAAAGTTAAAAGTTACACATGCGTATAGCCCAACCATCACTAGAAGACTATTCATTAGATGCTGAAACATTAACCAAGCTTCGTAACGGTTGATGATGACTAGTTCAGATCGATTGATCGACGACATGACTCTTGTCGTTACATTCTGTATTTTTCTAATATGTTCTTTTTCATAGCTGATATTACTCAGATTTTTATCTGTCTTTCAAAGCCGTTAGGAAGTAGAATACCTCAGTTGTCAGGTTTCAGTAGGTCAGACTAGGGAATCGCCTCATTTTTAAAATTTGATGTATAGTTATTCGGCTTAAATGCTCATATTAGTTACGCTCAGTTTCAGCAGAGAGAAGTTTCAGAATACCGAATAGGATGTTATCCTAATTCTTCATACAGAGCCCAGTTTCGATATCTAGTGAGGTACTCTTGTTCTTAAAGAGTCATCGATTGCGTAAGTAGATATTTATATGTTATTAACTAAAGACTTTATCATGGGCCTGACTGAATACCTGGGCTACCTGTTTCTGCCACCTAACTATTTCAACAAGTTATCTGTTTTTCATTTTTTTAACGTTTCACTATGTCCATTAATCGCATAACCCATACAGGCGCCTTTATGGAAAGCCTACGACCTTTCGCTGCAGGAGTTACAAAAAAGTGCAATCAAAGACATCTTGATAGTTGGCAATATGCGTTGAAGATAATTAACATTAATCTTAAGTCGATTCCCGACCTACGAACTTCTACTAAGTCAAAACATATATCGTAAATGTGGCGTCATCACAATTCAGGAATCTTGGTTGAATGATCTACAGGATGACTGCCTTGTATCACTACGTGATTTTGAAATTTATCGTCAGGATCGATCGAACAATAAAAAGAGGTGTGGTGGCGGTGTAGCTACGTTTGTAAACATAAAATGGTGTTGATCTACTTTTGCGTGTTTCAAGTTTTCAAGCGACATTATCAACTGTCTAATTCTAAGATGCCGTCCAAGACATCTGAATAAATACAAATATGTTTGTGTTACCA